TGCTTGTCACATTGCATATTGTTGCATGCTTGCTAGTTTGCATATTGTTACATGCTAGTCCATTTTTGCATGTTGTTACATGCTTGGTATATAGCATATTGTTGCATACTTGTTCCATTGTGTTATTGTTGCATGCTTGTCGCATTGCATGATTCTTGCATGTTGTTTACATGTTTATGTTGCATTGCATTGTGTTCAACCCGGTGTTGTGTTTAAACACAAGGTGGATTAGCTTATTTCATACTTGAAGTGATGAAATGAGCCAATCTTCCTTTGGTCTCCATTGCCTTTGATCACTTATGATAAGGCTGTGGTCTTAGTGTCTTGTTTGTCATGCATTTATTGAGTTTGTACAAATTGGATCTTTGGCTATCACGCATTGCGATGCTCGATTGATGGTCTTGGATCCAATTATGCCTTTCCATTGATGTTTCGAGGTGATATGGAGGGGCATAGTACGTACATACCCTTGGGAGACCCTCAATTTCCTCTGTTTTGTGCTCTATTACAGCTTGGTGTCACAGCATACCAGTGGCCGGCACCCCCTTATTGTTGGCCGGCACCTTTTCACTTGTGGCCGGCAGTGTGCATCCTTGGTCGGCAGGAGGGTCGGCAGAAGCTCCTTATGGCCGGTAGGCCACTGGTGCACTCTTCAGCACTGTTTTGGTAAGATCCAGCAACTAGTTCTCAAGAACACCCTGCAGATAGAGCCTCTTGAGAGCATTTGGAGAGCTTTCGGGACGGAAACCGAGCATGCATTTTCTACTTCTTCAACCAGCGCTGGAACAGCATTGTTTATTGCTTACTTGTTAGCTAGCATTTGGATTTGTAATTTAATTAGTTAATTTGTTAATTAATTAAGTTTCGTAATAATTAGTTGTAGCTAGTTATTCATTCAGTTATGTAATAATTAATTAGCTTGTTAGTTGGTTAATTAGCTGGTTTGTATTATTCATTCGGACCCTCCATTGAGAGGGCGAATTTTGTAATAAGCATGCGTGTTTGCGATGCATGTTTTCCAACCCCCATTTCTTTCTCCCTTTTACTTACCTGCTTTCAGTGGTTAGTTTTAGGGCATGTTTCAATTAGCATCCTTATGCTTGTATGCGTGTATCCATTCATCTGTCTTGCATGCATCGGGCTCGGCGCATCATACTAACTGAATTGTATTTCAATTCCAAGTTGAATACATGTACTAAGTTGCATTTCTCATACCATTCTAGAATAGCCGAGCCTATTTTAGTTACATTCTCGCATGCGTTGCATTAGCTATCTTAATATGAACTAAGGTCATGCATGACTTCTAACTAGTTCTCTATTTTGGCTCGGAGTACACTATGAGTGTTTACCCTTTAGCATACTGCATGTGTGTTATTGATTGACATGATAACATGCTTACCATGAGGCTATTTGCTTAAATGATATAACTGCCTGAATGCCTGTGGGTGAAGGTTGGATTACTTGAATTGGAACAATTCATCAAATCCCTGATTTAGCCTGCTTACGAGTAGCAAACTTCAAACCATTTTTAAACAAATATGTAATATTTTGTTCCAAATTAGGCGATCTAGTCTATACTTGATTGTTGTGCGCATCACGTAGTAAGATTAGCTAATTAATTGGAATAAGAGTACATGTGTTTTCAAAAACAAAATATCATGCTTAGTACAGGCCGATCTTTGATCGGGCGAGCAGGGGTGCTCATTGCATGACCTTCCCCTCTCGTACCCAAGTTCTCGAGTCGAGGCAACTTTGGCGATGACGGACACATGGCCTTAGGCATGAGTCAAGGTTTCCTAAATTCCCCCAAAACAAAATATTTAGGTGGCGACTCTATATCTGGAAAAGCAGTCCATGTTTGGCACTTCTTTATAAAAATCAGTTTTCCAAAACGATTTGCCGGATTTGGACTCTTTGGTGATTTATCGGTCTTGCATTGCACTTTACGAGATTAGATTCAAAACCGTGACATTTGAGTCCGAACTGTAGTAGTAAGCCCAATGAACAAAACGGATTCCCGCGCCAATTTCGCGCGCGGAAGCTGTGACATTCGGGCACGTCTACAGCTGTTTTTGTGAAATTGTGGCTGCTGAGGTTTGCTGAAATTTGTGAAATTGTTAGAAAAACTGATGTTGTATTTGTTGAGACTGTATATATTATACACCACAAAGTAAATTGCTGAGACTGTATATATTTGTTGAGATTGTTATAATTATTGAGACTGTTGTTCAAGTAAATGGGAAGCCTTATTGAGTGAATGCCCATTAAGCTGTAATAGACAACAAACAAAGATACCCCCTGCTATGCCTAATTCCTCTTGGGCCTGAGTTGAGTCAGTTTGTCCCTCTATTGAGCTGTAATAGACAACAAAAATACCCCATTCTATGCCCAATTCCTCTTCGCCCTGCTAGAAGGCATCAAATTTCTTATGCTGAGATGTAATTGTGTTGTTTCTCACATTAAACCTAACAGTTCAAATTATACCTATTGTCATTGGTTGAAAAATCTGCATTAACAAAACAATATAGCAGCTAGTTTTTATTAAATGTCCAATAGCAATGACAAATAAAAAATCATGTTTGAGCCTATAGAGTGACAGAGCAAAGTGATATGAAACCATTTTGAAATCATCAAGAATGTCTGCCAGCATTTCAATCTCAAGAGGTTCTTTGGGCTGATTCTTCTTGTTTCCATCCATAACTTAGTAATTTTAGATAACAACCAAAACTTGTATTGAATAAAGAGAAAGTCAGGTTCTAGCCAATTTATTGAGCTCTCTGTTTCCTAAATATCTTAGTTTTTTTATTCATATTCTAAATGAACATTTTCGTTTACTTTGGCTCTATATTTTTGCAAATGTCAACTTCAAGTGTTAATGGCAGTACGTCAAATCAATTGACATTTTTGAACAAAAATTGTCCTACATGTCATAAAAAAGCAACTATTTGAATTTCCGAAACGGAGCGAAATAGAAACAAATTATTTTATTGTTGTCAAGATTGCAATGGTTTTATTGGATGGTGTTTGCCTACAAATGCACAATGTAGAGCTGAAGGAGAAATGCAAATGGAAAATATGCCAACTGTCGCCGAACAGTTTTGATTTATAAGCGAACAAATTCGCTTTCAAAGTGAACAACTTTAATTTCAAAGCGTGGAGATGATTAAATTGGAAGCAAGCACAAATCGAAGTTTGTGTCGTATATATGGGTTGTTCCTATTGCTTGTAATTGGTATTGTATCGTTATGAAGATGTAATAATATATATGCAAGTTAGAAGTAGAAGTAATGTATTTGTCTTTGTTTATACATGTAATGTATATATTGTAAGAATGTTGGTATCAGTAATGTATTGCGGGTTGGTTGGTGCCCCATTTATTTGAATGTAGCTATTAGTTATTCTCCCATTTATTTGAATTTAAAAATTGTTAGCATTTATCCTCCACAAAATTCGTCTATTCTCATCTTCCCAGATGCACTGTATAGCAAAATAATAAAAACAGCTGGAATTCAAAATGAAGTAAAAAGCTGGAATTCAAAATGAAGGAAAAAGCTGGAATCCACAAAAGTCATCTATTCTCATCCTATTCTCATTTTTGCTCCCAGATAGTTCATTGTTGGAATTCAAGATGAAGTAAGCTCCTGTATAGCATGAGAATCGGTGGAATAATAACAAACTCAACCAACCCATTAAGCAAACCAGGAATTCAAGATGAAGTAAGCCAACTATTTCAAATTCAACCAATGAATAACAGAATTTGCTTGTCTTTAAATGGCCAATAATAACAACATATCACATAACACATGTAAGGGGGTTACACAAGCTGCAGGGATGTCCATCTACACAGTTTGTGTTCAACCGATCACAAACTCAACCAACCTATTAACAACATATAAGTAGCTACTTCCAAACATATCATTTTCAAACATTGTTCCCATTGCAAAAATAACATAAAAATTGACCCAAATCCGAAATGACATAAAAAAATACACCCAAATCTCAAAATGTAATAACATCATCGTTCGTTCAGGGATGTCCATCTACATGATTGTCAGCGGGACTATGTGAGGCTTGCGACATTTGGACTGCAAAGTGTTGAATACTAGTACCTCGAAGCAACTCTTGAAACGATGTCTGAGTGGGATAGACTAAAGGTATTGACTGAGGCGTATTATTTGAATGTAAAGTATGTAAGCAATTATAACTTACATCATATATAGGATACATGACATGATGAACACTTGTACGACCCATGGTAAAGGAAGGTTGATTTTGAAATACAGGTCGAGATTGAGAAATATAGAGACCATGACCATGACCCTAAAATGCATTGAAATACAATACATAATATATGAAATGAAAAAAAAAATTAATAATGCATTTGAATTTTACAAAAAACACGCAATATGAATTATTACCTGAGCATAATTACTACCTATGCCGAAAGGAGGTTGAGATTGACCTTGGGGAGTATAAACAACAACACCCTATACAACTAATGCAGGAAAAAAAAAATCACATGACTACATTGCAAGAACAACCAATGAAGATATGTAGGAATCTTAGTTATCCAACAACATTAATAAAGTAAAACAATGGTTCCATATGAGGTTTAGTTTCCCTAAGGTCTATGCATGTCAAAGGTTGCATAAAATGTTAAATATTACCTGTATGGAATGATTACCAATGGCCGAAGAAAGTTCAGATTGACCTTGGGAAGCACAAAAAGAACCATCCTACATGCATAAAAAAAGACCAAAATAATTAATATCACCCTACTAAATGACAAATGAAAACCAATCCTACAAGATTAATAAAAGGTTGCACACAATAGTAAATATTACCTGAATAAAATTATTACCCATGGCGACAGGAGGCTCAGATTAACCTTCGGGAGTACAAAAAGCATTACCCTACAAACGACCAATTTCTTTAATTAATGCCCTCTTTTTAATTATCATTTAATTATATGCAACAATTTTTGTAATTACGTGCTTAGATTACACTCTTTTCTTCTTTGCAATAGATTTTTCCATCTCGCCCTTGATCCTCCTTCTTCCCTTACTAGTTGCTTGTCTTTTCTCGAGTCCCTTAGCTTGGATTGGACAATCTACTTCATCACTCTGTGGGCATGTGTTAGTTGAGGAATTTCTCAGTTCAGTGACGTCCACTTGACCACAACTGTGCACACTTAATTTGTCTTCAACCAATACACTCAATTCTTCACCTTTTGCAAGTGACAAATGATAAGTTTCTTTACTTTCAGCGGCTCTACTTGTTATTGCTCTAAACATATTCATCAATGACCTATATTGATCGCTTTGATGTAGTTTCACATCAGCCTTGACGGCATACCCACGGCTATTTTTCATACTTTCAGCCCTTGTTTTTTTAGTCCATCGTTTCAGTATGTATTGTGCAGGAAGGTCCATTGCATTGAATATATTTCTAAGCACCTTCAAACAATGTCGACATACTATGCCCTTCACTTCAAACTTCTTGCAACTGCAACTCAAAGAACTATCTCTATCCATTATCACATTCTTATCTTTTTTTTCCATCTACCACCATTCGAATTGTGAATATGGTACTCTCACCATCATTAATAGTGCCTATAATGGACGCTTCAATGGATTGCATGTACTCATTTTGGAATTCCTCAAAAATTGTTTTAGTGTAAATATCTGCCATTTGCTTTAACATCAAAGTTGGAATGGAAACCCTTGGCAATTTTTGGGACAAATTATATTCGGCTTCCAATTCTTTATACCTCTTGTCATAGGGCACCCTTTCAAAATGCATGAAAATTCCATCAAGTTATGATCATAATTGAGATAATCCTTCAAACATGCATTGAATGATTCACTTAGTTGAGTAGTACTCATTCTAGCTGCCCAAGAATTCATAATATATCGCCATCCCCATTTGTCCTTCACACCAAAAGTTTGCTTTAACCAATGATTGTTGTGTGCATCATACTTATCAAGCATTTGGTCCCATTGTATTCTGAATTCTTCTTTATCATCAATTTCATGCATAAATTTTGAAAACACACCCTTCACCCCTACATCTCCAAAAAGAGAACTTACATGCTTCATAGTATTTTGCATCAAATACAATGTGCAAAGTCGGTGGTTTGTATTAGGCATGACAATTGGAATGGCCTTAGCCATTGCAGCATCTTGATCTGTGAAAATAGTTTTTGGAGCTTTGTTTGACATTGTCTCCAAAAAAAATCTGAAACAACCATGTGAATGATTTGGCAGTCTCATCATACATCAACGCTGCACTGAATATAACTGTTTCTCGATGATGATTAAATCCAACAAAGGTTCCAAAAGGTCTATGCTCGTTATTTAATTTGTAAGTAGTGTCAAAGGTCACTACATCACCAAATTGAGCATAGTCCATTATCATTTGAGCATCGACCCAAAATATATTACTTATCTACTCTTCACAATCTAATTGGACTGCATAATAAAAGGATGGATTTTTCACAGTTTTCTTACGAAAGTATTGCAACACACTACTCGCCTCTCCATATTCCAAATGTTTTTGTCTCTTCGATCTCAAATAATTTTTTTGGTCCAATTTGGTGAAGCCAAGTGATGCTCTTCCACCAGATTCCCTACCAAATAGCTCATAAGCAAACCTAAGAGGAATTATAGATTCTAAAGCCAATTCTACTTCAATTGCTCGGGTGGTAAATATTTTTCTTTGGGATGGCAACATATGAATGCACTCTTGAGGCACAAGGTCATGATTATGATGTTCAACAAAATCAATTGCAACATATGTTCCTAAATTTCTATCTAACTTGATACTCAATCGGGCACCATAACCACATCTCACCTCTTGTCTCGGAAATTTTACTAGTGGATCTCGCTTGTCAATATCCCGAGTTCCCTCTTTATAACATACAAAAGACCGTGAAGTTATTTCCTTAGTTTGTTTTGTTCTTGTGTGTATACGACTTCCTAATACTAAAGCCCACCTTTCCGCCATAGTTATTGTAATAGTCATACGCAGCTTGTTCAGAGTCCAATGGCATGCCCAATTTCGGCTTCCAACCACAACTAGCCAACTCATCAACAACATTATTTTCTTTCATTACCTACAATTCAGTACCATACAAATAATAAAATAAGCTAATTTCCAAAAATTGATGGATAGGATTTTTGAGAAGTGGGCCTACAAATAAATTTTGTAAAATTTTATCCGTTCATGTGCTTTCTATCCTAGTAGTGTTTGCTTTCTGTCCTGTGTTTGTTCTATGATCATCACAAATTAAGCTGATTCCCATCAATCGCCAAAGTTTCCAAAGATATAACAAAACAAAACAAAAAAAAGCTGATAATAAAGCAATTAACATTCTTTCAAAAGAGTTAAAAATAAGAAATCAAAAAAATTAGGAATTCCAGATTCACAAAATTGACAATCAACCCACAAAAAATGGATGATAAAGAATAACAATTTTGATCTACAAATGGAAAACCCGCTATCCAGATGTGTAAATCTAACTAAAATCAAGCAATACCTAGTCATGAATCATGAATGTAGATCACAAATATACATGTATATATTTTAGTTCTGTTTTACTTTGTATAACATTTTGTATAACAGAGCTCAAGCATATCACAAATAGAGCTCAAGCATAGTAAAACAGAGCTCAAGCATATCACAAATACTACTGAGTAATTTGTATAACATTTTCCTATACATATAATATATTAGTGGAACTGATGACTGGTGGAGCTCTTGTATGAATATTAATATAGTATTAAAATAATGGAGTATATGCATAATTATATATATATATATATATACTTGAGCTCTGTTTTTTTCTTCCGGGGGATAACTGTGTGGTTAGGCTTAATTCAAATGGGAAATCACAATAAAATCTAGGCTTAATTCAAATGGGAAATCACAATAAAATCAAGCAATACCCAGTCATGAATCATGAATGCAGATCACAAAGAACATAGAAATGCACACACAGCTTCGGAAATTTCAGACAACAAAGACAAAGATATATATATATATATATGTATATATCAGCGACAAAAATCTGAAATGATGATCCTGATTAATGTCACTTATTTTACCTCGTCATGGCCGCAATCTCGTCTCGCCGTCGTGTCATGTCCCTCCGCCATTCTCTGTCTTTCGCCATGGCCGTCTCCTCCCTCTGCCATCCTTCGTCTTTCGTCGTCGCACCCTTTTACCGTCCTTCGTCCTTCGCCATCGCCGTCGCACCCCTCCACCATCTCTCTCATCTCTTAGTTCGTTTCTATGCCTCTCTCTCTCTCTCTCTCTTCGTCTACCGTCTCTCTCTCAGTTCATTAGGGCTAAACAAAACATAACATAGAGCTGCTGGTAGAGGCAGATGATTGTCAAAGAAACGGGAAACTCAAATTTTGGGGAAGAAATAAAAAAATATTAAAAAAAAAAAACACTAATCAAAACGACGTCATTTTGGAGAGGACGACAGGGAGGGCCGCAGGAAAGGGCTACCGACGACCCTGATTTAACATTTTTGGCCAAGGAAAAGTCAAAAAATTAAAAAGTCAAGTTTCCAAATGAGTCCTTAGCGTTGCAAATGTAATTTTATGGCTATTAACTTTTTTTATTTTTTGAGTTACAAATTTAATAACCAAACATAATAGTTGTGTGTGTGTTAATCGTGCTCAACTTAATTAATCATTTTACATTTCAATTTTGTATTAATCAACAAATTTTTAATAAAATTATACAAGTTTGTTTTTGTCAAATTTGTAGACTAATTTATCATATGAGCCAAGAGTAAAAATATCTTTCTTCTACCATAAAAATCTTTTTAAAATGAATAAATTAGATTAATATTTTCTTAGATTTAAAGAAAATACAATAAATTCATAATTTTGATATAATTATATAAAAATTTCTTAAAATTTTAATTCATATAATATTTAATCTATTTGATCTTCCTTAAAATTTTATCTTTTTAATTCATATAAATTTTAATTTTGTTAGAGTATCTAATAATCTAATTTATCTTGTATAATAAGATTTATTTTTATTATATATTATCAAATTGTATATTTTCAAAAAAAAAATCACTATAGTTAAATAATAATATGAGTCTCATTAGTATGAATTTTTGAAAAAACTGTGATAATCATAAACGTGATATTCCATACTTCAAATAGACAAAATATTGTGAATTTTTAGAAAGTGTAAAAGCTGGTGTTAATATTTATACTTTAAAAAAAAAAAACATATTTTCAGACATTCATATTTTTCTTATTCATTGAAAGTGTGAATGTAACAATCTGAAAATTTAAATTATCTCTTAAATTTTATATTAATATTATTGAATTATAAATGAAAAAAATATAATTTTATGTATAATTAATTAAGTTAAAAAAAAAATCAAAGCAAGTGACACGTAGTCTAGGATTAGACATGCATAGGTGTAGTGAATCATGGATAAGCTTGGATTGAGAGAGAAGGTTTGGAAGAGCCACGTGCATGGGCTATGGCTTGGGACTCACGATTTGCCTCCCTATTTATGGGCATTAAGATCCTCTAGAGTGAGATGGTAGAGTGATCTCCTAGAGTGAATTTATGAGGATGCGACACATGTCCCACTAATGAAACTAAGGGTTGAGATCAATTTGTCACCAAAATGACGTCGTTTTGGTGGGGGAAATTAAAAAAAAAAAAGAAAAAAGTGAAGAGATGGGTCTTCTTCTCTAGCTTGGCAGCAGAAGAAGGAAAAGAAGAAGAGAGGAGAAGGGGAAGGGTAGGTTAGGTTAGGGTGGGGTTGCCGGGAGGGAAGGAGAGTGCGCCAAAGATGGAGAAGAACTCCAATGGCTATGTGTCCTCTGATATTGGGGTTTTCTATCTCTGATATAATCAATGTTCGTTGGGCTTTTGATATGATCAATGTTTATTGGGTTTTTGAATTGAGAAGGTCTTCAGGCTGATTTGGGGCTTATTTTTATTTCCTGTTCTATGAGCATTTTTTTATTTCCTGTTCAGGCTGATTTGGAGGTTTATTTTTTATTTCCTGTTCTAAACCTTAAAACCAAATGAAGGCTTCAGATATACAATGCTCAGTTATTTCTTCATGTTCTAAACCTGTTTTTTTTTTTTTTTTCATTCAAATGAATAGCATATTGTTTATTTTCTGTTATGATCAATGTTTATTGTTTATTGTTTATTGTTTATGATTAATGTTTATTTCCTGATATGATCAATGTTTATTGTTTATTTCCTGTTCTAAAGCTTAAAACCAAATGAATGTTTCAGATATACAATGCTCTGTTTTTATTTCCTATTCTAAACTTGATTTGGGTTTTTTTTGGGGGGGCTTATTTTTATTTCCTGTTCTAAACCTGATTTGGGTGTTTTTTTTTTTTTCCACTCAAATGAATAGTATATATCCCGGACCATGTTTTGTTTTTTTTTTCTTCAAACCGACACTCTGTTTTTTTTCTTTTTTCCTGACCCAATGTTTTTTCAAACAGTTTTTTCTAACAGATTTCAAAGA